CTATAGCATCTGCTAGTCCTCGGACAAGTGTCGAGATCTCGGACCCACCTGCGAGAAAAGAAAAAAAAACATTAATATTAGGGCAGATAATAAATAAATAAATGGCAATATAAATAACAGAAGAGAGAGAGAGAGAGAGAGAGAGAGAGAGAGAGAGAGAGAGAGAGAGAGAGAGAGAGAGAGAGAGAGAGAGAGAGAGAGAGAGAGAGAAAGAGAGAGAGAGAGAGAAATATCCTCCAGGTAACTTCCCTCGCTCCCCCTCCTCCTCCCCTTCACCCCCCGAAACCCCAATCTACCCCTACCCCCCAACAAAAAGCCCCCCTCCCCCCCCCACCACTCAACCCCCATTAGCCAATAGCACAATTAACCCCTTCGAAGTATCCATGCGACTCCATCCCTTCTCCCTTCTTCATCCTCATCCTCATCCTCCCTCCCTCCTCCCCCCCCCTATTATCCATTATCCCTTTCTACCCTCCCTTAACACCCCCCCCCCCCCACCCTCCCCCCCCAAAATCCTACCACAAGCATCGCCCGCCGACGGAACTTATCAACAAATCCAGAGCTGCCACAATCGGCTTAGACTGCGGCGCGGACAAACACACACACTCCGACAGGGGGACGAAAGGGGAAGGGAAAGGGGTGGGGGATGGGAAAGGGATGGGGGGAGAGGGAAAGGGGAAGGGAAAGGGGTGGGGGATGGGGAAGGAGGGGAGGGATGGGAAGGGGAAGGGGGGAAGGGGGAAGGGGGGAAGGAGGGGAGGGAAAGGAAAGGGATGGGGGGAGAGGGAAAGGGGATGGGAAAGGGATGGCGGGAGAGGGAAAGGGGAAGAGAAAGGGATGGGGGAGAGGGAAAGGGGAAGGGGGAAGGGGGGAAGGAGGGGAGGGAAAGGAAAGGGATGGGGGGAGAGGGAAAGGGGATGGGAAAGGGAGATGGGGGAGAGAGGAGGGGAAAGGGAAGGGATGGAGGAGAGGAGAGGGGAAGGGAAGGGAGAGAGAAAGGAGATGGGAAAGGGATGGGAGAGAGAGAAAGGAGATGGGAGGAGGGATGGGGGAGAGAGAAGGGGAAGGGGAAGAGATGGAGGAGAGGGAAGGGATGGGATAAATGTCGAGAAATAGGGACAAGAAAAGCAAGCGAAAGGAAGAGAAGAGAAAGGGCAGAAGATATCTATAAGAGATGGGGGAGAGGGGAGAGGGGGGAGGGGAGAAGGGGAGAGGGGAGGAGGGGAAGAGGGAGGCAAAATCCGTTCCGGGTAAGAAAAGGTGTGTATGTCCTAAGGAAGGGCGGGGGGAGAGGGAAGAGGGAAGAGGGGGGGGGAAGAGAGAGAGAGAGAGAGAGAAAGGGCGATAGAGAGAGAAAGAGAAGAAAGAGAGGGAAGAAAGAAAGTGGGGTTGAGATGAAGGCTTTTAACCCCTCCGATTCAAGAAAAAAAAAGGAAAAAAAAAAGTATCCTCCGTTTCCCCTCCCTCCCTCCCTCCCTCCCTCCCCCTTACCTTCCCCTCTCCCCTCCCCCCACCACACCCCGCCTTTCTGTTCCCCTCACAAATCATATCTTAAAAGTAGGGAGAAGGGGGAGGGGAGGGGAAGGGGAGGGAGCTAATAGGGACGGGGGGGAGGGGGAGGGAATGGGAGGGAGAGGGAGAGGAAGAGGAAGAGGGGGAGGGGAGGGGGAAAGGGGCAGGGGGGAAACGGGGCATGGGAAGGTCGGTAGGTGGAAAAAGGGGGGGTGGGGGGGGTCACAAAGTCAAAAGGTGTTCAACGTAAAAGGTAAAAGATGGGAGAAAGGGAGAGTAAACACGAATAGAAGGAAGAATAAACTCGGGAGGAAAAGGGGGCATGAAAAGATATGAGAGAGAGAGAAAAAAGAAAGCAAGTTATGTATATTTAGAAAACCAGAATTAATAATATCATTATCATCATCAATAACTGCAATGTCGAAACGATACTGGGGACACTAACCCCTTCCCCCCTTCTCCCCCCCCACCTTTCCTCTTCCTCTTTCTCTTTCTCTCCCTAATTCTTCCCCCCTCCCCTTGCGGTTCTTCCTCTTCCTCCTCCTCCTCCTCCTCAAACCTTGAGGAAAGAAAGGAGAAAGAAAGGAGAAGATAGGAGAGGGGGAGGTAGGAGAGTTAGGAAAGGGGAAGAGGGGGAGAGGAGGAGAGGGGAAGAGGGGGAGAGGGGGAGAGGTGAAGAGGAGGGAGGAGGGAGGGAGGGGAAGGGTTGCACCGGATTGCCACGGGGAAAGGAGTTTAAGGAAGGCAACAGCGGTAGAAGGGGGGGGGGGGGGTAGAGGAGAGAGAGAGAGAGAGAGAGAGAGAGAGAGAGATGCCAACCCCCCCCCCCCTCCTTTGCCTATACACATATCCCATATTCCCATCTACCTCTCCTCCCCTTTCCCCCTTTCCCCCCCTCTTTCCCTCTTCCCTACCCCTTACCCCCTCCCCCCCTCTCCCCACCTTACAAAGGCTCAGTCACAAAGCTGCTGGGAGGTGACCGGGATTTGAACAATACAAAAGCTAGAAGTTCAAAACAGAAATCTTTATAAGGTTCATTTTTTTTTCTCTCTCTCTCTCTCTCTTCCTTTTTTTTTTTTTTTTTTTTTTTTTTACAAGTGTTCTTCATTCGCCGCCATGACCGCCTCGCGATGGATCGCTTGATGGAGGAGGAGGAGGAGGAGGAGGAGGAGGAGGAGGAGGAGGAGGAGGAGGAGGAGGAGGGGGAGGAGGAGGAGGAGAAGAAGAAGAAGGAGGAGGAAGAGGAGGAGATGAATATGAAGAAGAAGAACAGAAAATATCGCAAAGGCAAACCCCCCAAAAAAATACATCGAAATCAAAAGCAAAAATGAAAGAATAAATCAGGAGAAAAAAAGAAGAAGATAAAAACGGACAGAGAGAAACAGAGAGAGAGAATCCCCTCCTCGACGGGGCGCCCTGACGAGGAGCGGCCGCCCTCCGCAGGGCGCCCGTCTGCGGGGGCGTCGCCACTCTCGTCTCCTCCGCCAGCTGACGGCCCGAATGGCACTCGGGATGCACGCGCCGGCGGGGGGGCGCGGCGGGGCAGGCGAGGGCAAGGCCAGGGAACGCAAAGGTAAGGCAAGGGAAAGGAAGGGAAAGGAAGGCAAGGGAAAGGAAGGGAAAGGAAGGGAAAGGCAAAGGTAAAGCAAGGCAAAGGTAAGGCGAGGGAAGGCAAGGGAAAGGAAGGCAAGAGAAAGGTAAAGCAAGGCAAATTAAGGCAAGTGCATGGATAGGGAAACGCAAAGGCAAGGCAAAGGTAAGGCAGTGATATGGGCAAGGGAAGGCAAGGACACGGGGACGAGAGAGAGATCAAAGGTCACTACTTCTATCATATCTTAGCTTCTGGTGCTATTCGAATTTCCTTTCTTCATAAGGCAACCGAAATAATAATGATACTGATGATGATAACAACAATTACATAATAATAATAATAATAATAAATAATAGTAACAAACATAACAGTAATAAAGACAACAAAACTATAACAAAAGCAACAACAACAACAATAATAATAATAATAATAATAATAATAATAACAACAATAATAACAATACCCACAAAACAACAACAATAACAGCATCCACAACAACCCCCAAACAAATAAAACAAATAAACAAGGCCCGCCCGACAAGCAAAAAAGCGACGCCAAACGCAAATCCGTTTTTAAAATTTCCGAAATACCTCGCGGGTAATTCCTCACACGAGAGCTACAAGGGCCGTTGCATTACCGACGACGTCCCGAACAGCAACCGACGTAAAACTGACACAACTAATCGCAGTCCATTAGGCAGACTTCGAGGTGCTTTTGGGTCACACATAAATCATTTCACAACCACACAATGCGTAAGAAAAAAAAAAAGAGGAGGAGAAGAAAAATGAAAAAAAAGCGATAGAGGGAGGGATAGAGAGAGAGAGAGACAGAGAGAAAGAATGAAAAAATGTTGTATGGACCTTTTTTCTGATTTTTTTCCCACTGGGTGGCTCTCCCTCTTTCTTTCTGCCTCTCTCTCTCTCACGTCTTCGCAGGAATGCGCGCCAAAAAGACGAGAAAACCAGATTATGACGGTATAGACGAAGGGGGAAAAAATTTCATAACCAATAAACCTGACGCTAATCCATCCATTTGGCTTTAAATCCCATTAGAAGCGGTTCTGATCCCCCCCCTTATCCCACCCTTGCCCTCACCCCCCCTTTCCTACCCTCTTCTACTTAGCTCTCCCCCTCCCAACCACCACCATCCCTTTTTCTTTTTCTCTCTCCCTCTCTCTCCCTCCCTCCCTCTCTCTCACCATCCCTCCCTCCCCATCCCTATCCCCCCCCTCCCCTCCTCCTCTCTTCTCTTCTTCTCTCGCCGCTAAAGGACACTCCAAAATCTGTCCCGGTCGGCGTGGCCAGATTCGATACGCTTGTCACACCGGATCGTCGCGGCCACAAAATCTTCCGACACACTCACCTTCTCTCTTTCCCGACCTCCCCCATTTTTCTCCTTCTGCGCCTCTCCCTCTCTTTATATCCCGAGTTTCCCATCGTGTCTGAGGGCGTCGAGGGGGAAGGGAGGAAGGTGCAGGGGTGGGGTGGGGAGGGGGAGACAGGAACTCGCCCTACAGGAGGACGTTTTCCCTCCCCGATTCGGAACGTGGAAATGTGGACTGATTTTTCCCCTTCGTCTTCGTTCGGTGGCGGGCGAGGGAGAGAGGATCCTGCGATACACTCTTTTTTTTTCGGGACAGTTCCATCGCTCAGTGTTCCTTCCTTTTCTCCTTCTTTGAGGCTCCCTCTCTCCCTCTCTCTCTCCCTCCTCCTCCTTCCTTTGCATCTCCTTTCCTCTCCTTTCCTACTTTTCCTCTCTTCCGCCAACCTTCCTTCTCTATTCCCTCTCTCCCTCTTCTCCTTTTCTCCTCCTCCTCCTCCCTTCTCCTACCCTCAAGCTCCCCCTCTATCCCTCCCTCCTTCCCTCCTTCCCTTTAGCTCCCCTTCCAGCCTCACATTCCAGCATTGTGGTGCGGCTACAGTAAATACGACAAACAGTCTGCACA